GAGGGGAAAATGGGTGATGGGCATTGAGGAGGGCACTTGTTGGGATGAGCACTGGGTGTTCTATGTAAGCGATGAATCACGGGAATCTACCCCCAAAATCAAGAGCACATTGTAGGCACTGTATGTTAGCCAACTTGACAATAAGTTATATATTAAAAATAATAATAATTTAAAAAATAAATTCTAGGGGCGCCTGGGTGGCTCAGTCGGTTGAGCGTCCGACTTCAGCTCAGGTCACGATCTCGCGCTCCGTGAGTTCGAGCCCCGCGTCGGGCTCTGGGCTGATGGCTCGGAGCCTGGAGGCTGCTTCCGATTCTGTGTCTCCCTCTCTCTCCGCCCCTCCCCCGTTCATGCTCTGTCTCTCTCTGTCTCAAAAAAAATAAATAAATGTAAAAAAAAAATTTTTTTTTAAATAAAAAATAAATTCTAGTTAGTTAACATACAGTGTTAAATTAGTTTCAGGTGTACACGATAGTGATTTGACACTTTTGTACAATACCCAATATTTATCACAAGTGATGGGGATTAACCCCATCACCTACTTCGCCCATCCCCCTACCCCCCTCCCTTCTAGTAACCATCAGTGTGTTCTCTATAGTTAGGAATCTGTTTCTTGGTTTTCCTCTCCCTCTCTTTTTTACCCTTTGCTCATCTGTTTTGTTGCTTAAATTCCACATACAAGTGAAATCACACAGTATTTGTCTTCCTCTGACTGACTTATTCTGCTTAGCATTATACTCTCTAGCTCCATCCACTTTGTTGCAAATGGCAAGGTTTCATTCTTTTTACGGCTGAGTAATATTCCATTGTTATAGATATAGATATAGATATAGATATAGATATAGATATAGATATATAGATACACACACACACACATACAGTATCTTCTTTACCCCTGCACCAATCGGTAGATACTTGGACCGCTTCCGTATCTTGACTATTATAAATAATGCTGTGAACGTAGGGGTGCATGTATCCCTTTGAATTGCTGTTTTTATATTCCTTGGGTAAATGCACTGTTTTGTGTTCTTTGGGTAGTGTGATTGATGGATCGTAGGGTGGTTCTATTTTTAACTTCGTGAGGAACCTCCATACGGTTTTCCAAAGTGGCTGCACCAGTTTGCATTCCCACCAACAGTGCAAGAGGGTTTCTTTGCCTCCACATCCTCACTAACATCTGTTGTTTCTCGTGTTGTTGATTTTAGCCATTCTGACAGGTGTAAGGTGGTATTTCATCATAGTTTTGATTTGCATTTCCCTGATGGTGAGCAACGTTGAGCATCTTTTCATGTGTCTGTTGGCCATCTGGATGTCTTCTTGGAGAACTGTCTGTTCATTTTAGGGACCAGACTCTTTAAGCTGGCATTCAGGGCCTTCCAGAAACTGATCTCATCCTCCCTTTCTAGCCCTACCTTCCATTACTCTCGTGACAAACCCGTTACTGTCTTTCATTCATTCGATGCACACTGAGAGCCAAATGCTTCATATACATGAGCTCTGTGATTGCATTACTACCATTCCCGTTTTACAGATGAAGTTTAGAACTAGAGATTTAATCTCTTCTTGACGATCACAGAACCAGTTACTGACAGATTCAGGATTCAAACCCAGTTCAACTGAATCCAAAGCCAGTCTTCTTAACTCCTTTCCTAGCCACACGGATCTCTCTGCTCACCATCACTATGACATATGTCCAGTTTCACTTTCATGTTTTTAATTGTAATGTTGACTCCAACTCAAAAACCTTATCCTCCCTGTCCTTCAGAGTTTACCTCAGAACTTTGAACCCTTCTGTGAAATCTTTCAACCACCAGCCTACGATTGATATCACCTTCCTCTGATCCTTAACCATATGTGGCTTTAGATTGTCATTTAATTCACCAGGTTGAAGGGGTTGTCCTCCCAAACACGTAATTAGTTGCTTGATGGCAGAAGCCATGGAAGCCCGAGTTAGATAAGTAAGTAATGTCTACAATTCTACTCTTTGGTTGATATTTGTTTCTATTCCCTACAATTCTATGTCCCTTAGTAAATGCTCAAAAATGGTCTCAGTGTTAAACTGATAACTTCTCATAGAGAGAAGACTCACTCCTCCTGTCATTAGAGTAAGATAGCTCACAACACTGTAATTTGAAATTAAACCCTCTAAATTCTGAATGGCCAACTTCTCTGGAGGCTACTGTGTAATAGATATTATGTAATACCTGAATTCATATTCAGAATAATATTTTTTAAGAGAAAAAAATTATAGGAAGTCAACTTTGTCACTTTGAAAAGTTTGAATTAATAGAGGAAGGATAATTTTCCAGTTTCATTCCGTTCCTTAGCCTTCACGGACCTTTTTTGAATAAGAGACAATGTGGTTTTATTTCTCTTTAAGGTAAATTTGTAAAACCTGCTCTATCATCCTTTCAGGATAACTGAGAAAGAACGTTAGCAAAGAGGGAAGGAGGGGAAAACCATACCAAAAACTCTGAGTCTTGGATCTGTTTCCTAAAACCAGGAGGCGGCAGAGACTCAGGGAGCAGAGTTTTTATTCCTACAGGTTGAGGGTCATTGATAGGGGCAATTCAAGTATAGCTGGTGAGGCTGCAAATGAATTTGAGATGAGGGTCAAAAGAAAGAAAGCTTGCGGCAGCCTTCTCCAGTATCTTTGTGAGAATTTAAGCTTACTTCTCCCTCCCTCCACCACGTAATCCCCTACCCCATGTCTACCTCCCTTCCAGCATCTGAATCTTTATTCATTCTGTCTAGTTCAGAGGGAACTACCTGAATCAGTGCCATTGATTGGTTTTGTTGTTTGCTTAAGGATTGATTTGGAAATCTACATAATCCATTCTGCCTTAATTTACACTTGCAGTGTTATGGTACGTTTAGAAGGACTGATTACTAACAGACTTAATCTCTCCCAAGAAATAACAAGACATATATTTGTAAGATAATCATGTTTCAAGTGATCAGGAAAGACCGTAGGTGCAAAAAGAGTTTCAACAGTAGACATACCTTGGGGGAGGGGGAGGCAAAGGATTTTGACTTCAGTATTTCTTTTTTTTTTTTTTTTTTTAATGTTTATTTATTTTTGAGACAAAGACAGAGCGTGAACAGGGGAGGGGCAGAGAGAGAGGGAGACACAGAATCTGAAACAGGCTCCAGGCTCTGAGCTGTCAGCACAGAGCCCGGCGCCAGGCTTGAACCCAGGAACCGTGAGATCATGACCTGAGCTGAAGTCGGACGCTTAACCTACTGAGCCACCCAGGCGCCCCTTAAATATTTCCTTAAGAATATGCTAAATCAGAATTCATTGAACAGCAGTAGCTAACAAAAAAGCTTTTAAAGTGAAAAGTATGCTAGAGCATTTCATTTATCAGAAGATAAAATGCCTCAGCGTTTATTGAAAAGAACTTTTTGAAAGGAAAGCTGTTTTGTCGTTCGAGGGTTTTTTTGGTGGGGGGTGGGGGGTCCGTTGTTGTTTTTTAATTTTTCATTGTTTTTCCATGGATCTCTTCCATGCAGGAAAATTAGGTGGATTTACACAAGAAAATAACACCATAGATTCTGGAGAACTTGATATTGGCCGAAGGGCAATTCAAGAGGTTCCTCCTGGGATTTTCTGGAGATCACAGCTCTTTATTGATCAGCCACAGTTTCTGAAATTCAATATCTCTCTTCAGAAGGATGCATTGATTGGAGTATATGGCCGAAAAGGCTTACCACCTTCCCATACTCAGGTAAAAGTGGGCTTTGTTGTCAATAAGATAGAAACTGCTAGTTTGCATTTTTAAAGTTATTCTGTTTCTTGAGTTCAGTTGTTTAACTGTTGGATCTCTTTCGTATTGATCGTTTACGGTGAAAAGAATTTTGAACGTAGGTTACACTTATCGTGAGGTTTTCGAATAAGTAGGAAAAACAACATTTTCTTCCTGACTTGTGCTAATCATTATTGACCAACTGAAATGTTCTAAAATTTATGAGTAGCCAAATGAAAATATTGAACATCATCTGAGCACCTAGGAAAACCTCATGGATTTTCCAAGTGTTTTACGAAGATTCTGTGGGAATTTCAGAGAGTCTTATTCCTTTCATGTAATAGATGCATAGTATTTTCATCTCAAACGTGGCGTTCACGCTGTTGGAAATATATTGTATTTTTTCTGCTTAATGCCAGCTTTACTGTTAGTAAAGAAATTATGGAAATAAAAACATAAATATGAGCGAACTTGGTCGACTCAAGCCATGATTCCTCAAATAAAGAGGAGAAAGAGCTTTCACAGATAACCAAGGGTGATCACCTTAGTGTGGCACTCGAAACAATTCAAATATTCTTCAACCATACGTCGATTGAACGACTTTAGAGGCAGTTCGTTTGCATGAAAATTACCTTACAGATAGAGACAGCTGCTAGCAATAACTCTACAGGCTTTTTCATAATCTGATCCTGGGTCACGGTATGTAATTTGGAAATTGTGGTTTAAAAGAGGTCCCATTATGTCCAAGAGAAATTATTTAAATTACCCACCGTAAGTTTGGAGCTTAGACTTTTCCCACCATCAACTAGTACGTCAGTCCAAAAATGTGATAGATGGTTAATTAACATTGACGGTTGGGTGAGCCTAAAAGTTTCACACTTGATAATCAGTTTATTTACCCATAGAACTGCATGCAGATTTTCATTTGATTTATAAACTGAGGACTGGAGGGTTTTCATGTCTGCTTTATAGTATGTAATTCTGTGAGACATGCTTTTTCTATACCCTAGGAATTGTAAAGAAAAATTGATCAAATACTAATAAAAGAATCATGTCTTTAAAGAAAGATGAGTAAGGGAGAGAGAGCCTGGGTGGCTCAGTCGGTTAAGGGTCCAACTCTTGGTTTCAGCTCAGGTCATGACCTCACAGTTCGTGGGTTCGAGCCCCACATCAGACTCTCTGCTGTCAGTGCTGAGCCTGCTTGGGATTCCCTATCCCCTCTCTCTCCCCCTCTCCCGTTCACGTGCACCCTCTCTCTCAAAAACAAATAAACATTTTTTTAATGTTTTTGATAAAATAATCTATAAAGATTTAAAAAAAGAAAGATGAGTCAGAAACTTTGAACCATGCTTTCTCTTATGGATCAGGGAAAGTTTCATATACATATATAAATGATATTGTTGTGAAATTTTTGAATATCATGCTTTGGTATATCATTTTTCTGATCATGGTTTTCATGTCTATATTATTAAAATAGACTTAAAAATTTTTTTTAATGTTTTATTTATTCTTGAGAGAGAGAGAGACAGAGCATGAGTGGGGGAGAGGCAGAGGGAGAGGGAGACACAGAATCTGAAGCAGGCTTCAGGCTCTGAGCCGTCAGCACAGAGCCCGGCGTGGGGCTCGAACTCACAGACCGCGAGATCGTGACCTGAGCCGAAGTCGGTCGCTTAACCGACTGAGCCACTCAGGCGCCCCAACCCATTTAAATTTTTGATTATAATTATAATTCACTCCAGTGCCTGCTATAAGTGATAGTGGCTGGAAAGCAATAACCAGGTCTTCTTAAACACAGTGGGTGTCTGTAATGTTAGTTATGGCAGAGAGATTGCATTTATATCAATAGCCCGGTGATATAGGAAAAAATATTTTTTTCCTTGGAACCATATACATGATTCAATCACTTTTTTATAACTGAAGAAATATGCCTCTAAAGCTAAGCACAACAGTGCGTGTGTAACCTGTAAACTCCAGAAAATAATTTCCAAAGAAAATTGTCGTGTGCTTTACAGATTTATTTAAAGATTCAGGGTTGACTCTTTCCTACTTATGTATACCATGTAAGATTAGAGAAACAAAAAGCGCAGTTTCAGGTTTTCCCATCCTTCTGGTATTTAAATATAATATACATCATACCCACTTTTCCTTCCGGCCACAATATATGTGTTTAACTAGATTATGCATTTTCTTAAGCTCCACGGTTCTTGGAGTTCTTTCCTCTGGTTTATTCAAGATCAGCAGAGCAAACAACTGTTTCTGAGTTCAGTGTTTAAACATGAAATATGCTATAAAGCAACCCAAACTGAACATTTCTCTGTTTCTGGGGAACGTTAAATAAATCAACCTGAAATAATTAAAATTGGCCGGCCATTCGGAATAGTCAACTTGAGTTTTGAAAGTCTTTGTGACCCTTTATAAAACTGTCTGTTTGATTGTTGCCAAGGAATCAATTGACTTTCTTCTCCCTGATGCCCAGTTTATTCTCCTGGACAGTTAGAAGCCTAAGGAAGCAATTTAACGCTGTACAGTGAACAGTGTAGTGTATCATTTAAGAGCGTGTGCGTGAAGCCTGTTTCAGAATGGTAGCTGGAAACCTGAGTTTTGTAAGCACGCACCCCTGCGACTCTTTGACCTTGTGACCTTGAGCAAATCACTTCTCTGTGCCAGTATCTGTCCAGAAGCAGTTGAATCAGATGATGTCTAAAATCTCTTCCTCCTGTGTGCCAAAGATTTACAGCAAGCTCAATGCTCCCACCAAATAGTTGATTAAAAAATACAATTAAGTATTCATAGATTCTGAGATTCATAGATTCTCATCCTTTTAAATTTTTTTAAGCTTATTTATTTATTTTGAGAGAGAGAGACAGAGTGAGAAGGGGTGGGGCAGAGAGACAATCCCAAGCAGGCTCCACAAGGTCAGCGTGGAGCCCGACGCCAGGCTCGATCTCATGAACTGTGAGATCGTGACCTGAGCCGAAACCAAGAGTCGGGCGCTTAACTGACTGAGCCACCCAGGTGCCCCTCATCCTCTTAATAACTGACTTGAGTTAAGCATATGGACAGTCTAACTCCTCAGAAATGAACTACCAGGATACCTTTATCAAAGTCTGACCTTTGTCTCGTGATCGCTTCCCCAAAGTGGTGAGACTGAATTTTATCCCCGAATAACACAAGACCCGAAGACGTGCCTCCACAAAAAAATCCACATCTCCATCTTATGAATAGGTATTATGAGGGAAAGCCAGGAATAGGTATTACGAAGTAAAACCAGTTTGTCCTTAAGTGATCGCTTTGTACTTTACCCCCTGAGAACAAAGGTTATTAAACATTTCTGTTCCATTAATTTGTTTACTTTTTGTAGACATGGGATTATGTGAAGCAGGGGACTTGTCTTTAGGTATTTGAATAAGCCCCACAAAGGCGTGTGGGAAGGGGTGGCCGACTACTCTGCATCCCAGTGACCACCACCCCAGCCCTGTGTTACTGTTCCCGATGTGATACAAACGACGGTCTCTACAATAAAGGTGGTGATTCCCAGGGTGAGCTTGAGAGGCCAGTTAAAACCCAAAACGTCCTCCCTTTCAATGTTTGCACATACTGTGTTGAGTGTTAGAGGACAAAAATGTTTACGTGCCAAGGAGCCATTAAAAGAAACTTTCCCCCTGCCTCTTTGCCATGCTGATATAAATATTTAAATCTGACGGGGAAGTGGCTTATTTGAGGCATAGGCACCTTTCAGAAGTGCTGAATTATTTTGCCTCTGATAATTTTGAAATACAGCTCCAGATGAAAATTTTGCGGGTCAAATATCCACAACCGGTTATCGTTTTCATCCTGATAAGATATAAATGAAAAAAGTTACCGAATGCTGAGTGACAGCTTCTTTGTGTATTTCTCACAGCTGCATGATGTCATGAGGTAGTTTTACTACACGCAGAAAAATAACAGAATAGGCTTTTATATTTAAATAAAAAATTTAATATGTTGGAGACGGAACTAGATATTCTGAATTCCATCCAATAGTAACATGAGAGGTTTGTGATAAGTACAGGGGCAGCACATTCAATCACGAATCTCAGAATCCCAGCAGGTGATTTTCCTCCAGTTTTTAAGGGATTCGTATAATAAACTTTTCTTTAAATAGACCGCTGATGAAATTCCAGATAAGAAATCTATCTGAAGGTAGAATATTGATGATTCATATATATACGCATGCACACATACGTATATATATGGTACCGTAAATGATATGTATTGTCCTGTAGTGTCTCTGTCACCATAAATGCAGGCCTCGGGAATAAAAGGAAACTGGATAGGAGTCCGTAGAAAGTGAATCACTGTACTTTTAAGAAACTCTTATCTAATGAGTTTATTGAAACTATATTGGGAAGTCTGTGCCGTGTCTCCCAAATTCATTGCATTATCTCTGGTTACTATTACCGAGTACATTCCATATTTTTCTCTAGCTTTAAACTCTCCAGTTGAAGTCTTCTGGCCACCCAGTGTTCACAATTAATCTTACTAAACCAGAAATCAAGCTGAATGATGATTGACTTCAGAATAGTAGCTGGGCATACTTACTGTTATTCCGTCCCTTCGGAACCCCTCCACTGTTTAATTTTTTAGACTTTCAGTCAGAGATACAAAGGCGTCTTGATGCATGTTTTTAATTTAGCCATAACAAGGTACAAACCCACGGGTTTCTCCATGGTACCCGGGATGGTTACACCAGGGTCGCACAGAGGAGTACGGTGCTGTGGTGGCAAAGGTCTGAGGTTTCTCACAGACCAACTCTCCCGCTTACCAAGTACCTGATCTTGCCGGAGCTCCTCGAGGTTTGGTTTTCTCCACCCTTACAGTGTAAGTATCAGTGCCTTCCTACTAGAAGGGTTGCTACAAGGAGTAAATATAATCCCGGCACAGAGTACGTATCCAATGGCGGTCGTTACCACACGGGTATTAAATAGGAGAAGACGGTAAGAGATTACCTAGGGGTCCAAAATAAGGCTGCTGGGTTTGAAATGTTAAAGGTTTATGGCTGTATTTGCACACCGCCTGAGCTCATCAAACTTTTTATCCGTTGGGAGAGTCAGATAACTCTGGAAACCGATTGCCCAGTAAGGGGGAAACGATTTGTGAAATTTACATGTGACAACACTGTGCAGTGCGTGGTTCTTACGATCCCTGTAAATGCTACGTGTAGGAGACCTGTGCCATCAGGAACCTTTTTCTGACGTTGTGTTTATTAGAGCAGAGGGGAAAGGTTGGAACACAAAACGGAAATGAGAGAAGCAGCTACGACCGAGATCGTTCTGACCACTAAACAGCTGTACTTGTCCTCACCCTCAGTATGACTTTGTTGAGCTCCTGGACGGCAGCAGATTGATTGCAAGAGAGCAGCGGAACCTGCTTGAGCCCGAAAGAGCAGGGAGACAGGCGAGATCCGTCAGTCTGCACGAGGCTGGCTTTATCCAGTACTTGGATTCTGGAATCTGGCATCTGGCTTTTTACAATGATGGGAAAAATACGGAGCAGGTGTCTTTTAATACCATCGTCATAGGTAAGAGTGGTCTGCAAAGCATCTTTTTCCGGGCTATCGCCTGCACAGTGTGTTGAACAGAAACTAAATGGTCTTCACCGATTTGGAGCGATACCTAGGGCGTTAAAGCCTGAGGTACACTGTGAGAGATATTTTCAAATTGTTTATTTACGAATATGTTGGCAAACCATGAAGCACTGAATATTATTCTGGAAGGATCTTGGAGGAGGGCAGTGCGTCTTAAAAACACTTGAGAGCGTCTGCACTTGAAATGGCGATGCTTTGCTTGACTAGTCAAGCTGGTTTGAATAGTCTAGTATATATGAATCCTTTTTTTGTTTGTTTGGTTGTTTTTTTTTTTTTTTTTTGGTTATGGAGCAAGCCATCCGTCATTCCTTCATGTGCAGCTAAAATGATCAAAGTGACAGTTTACCTTCTGCGGGAAGCGGGCTACACAGTAAATATCCCTTCTCTCTCTCCTCTTCAGAGTCTGTGGTGGAATGCCCTCGCAATTGCCATGGAAATGGAGAGTGCGTTTCTGGAACTTGCCATTGTTTTCCAGGATTTTTAGGTCCGGATTGTTCAAGAGGTACGCGAGTTAGAGCCTTTTCTTAAGCCAATAGAAAGAGGCTGTAGAAACACGCGTAAATCAGAAAACTCCCAGGACGGGGAAGAAAGGGGGAAACGGGCCGACGCCTTGTCCCAGCGACGTGCTTGTCGTTCAGGACCCCGACCGCAGATGTGGCTGTTGACTCTTCTGTCGTGTTTTATTTCACAGCAGCCTGTCCGGTGTTGTGCAGCGGCAATGGACAGTACTCCAAAGGCCGCTGCCTCTGTTTCAGCGGCTGGAAGGGCACCGAGTGCGATGTGCCCACTACGCAGTGCATTGACCCTCAGTGCGGGGGGCGTGGGATTTGCATCATGGGCTCTTGTGCCTGCAACTCAGGATACAAAGGAGAGAATTGCGAAGAAGGTAAACACGCCCATATTTACGGAAGTCCGTTGTGACCGTCCTAAAGGAAGAGACGATCGGATCGGATCATTTGTCATCTTTAGTTTGGCAGATGAAGCTTTTTATATGCCTCCTCGTGAAAGTAATTAGATCTCCATGAGTATGGTGGCGTCATTTGGTTAACATTTTCACTAATAAGAAAGAGCAAATACCGAAGAGCCCCTGTGCTTCCAGTCGTGTGATTAATTCTTTTTTCTTTCAATCAGAGAAAGTAGGCAAACGTGTGTGACTCGAAGCCCACGATGGGCTGTTGTTTTGCTTAGTTGGTTTTTTATCTTTGCTTTCAGGTTTTTTGTTTGTTTGTTTTGTTTGTTCTCACAGTTTTTCACCTCGAAACCAGCTTTTAATCGAGCATTTTGGCATGTCTAAAAAGACAGGCTAACGGTTGGCTCCATAGCTCAGGGGTTAGAGCACTGGTCTTGTAAAAAGACAAGCTATTGCACGTAATATACGAGTGAAAAAAAGTACATCACGGGTTTGTTCTATAACCGTATGTAATGATGAGAATCAGGCTGCTATACTGTAAAGTGCAGTTGAATTGTTTTTTCAAAAAGCAGAAAAGCACCATTTCCGTTCTTCAATCAAATTGATTTTATTGATCCGCACACACAAAGTAATGCAATTAAGTCTCTGGAATTAAATTTTCAGGCCATTGACCCTACAAGTGTAAAGTTTTATTGAGTCAAATTGCTAAATTAAATCTCGTCATCTAAAGCACATTAAAGTGAATTAAGAAGGAGAGAGCGTATGCAACTCATTTATTTCTCAAACTGTTTGAGAGTCCCATACAGCTGTCACTGCTCAATGGTCGTGGATTAGGTCAGCTGATACAATTTTGTTATAGAGAAGCTGATACTTATTACTGTCTGATTAAGCAGAACAGAGAGCAATAGTCTGAAATCTCAGGAGCATCTATGTGTGGAATTCATGAAAATTACAAATCCTTGCAAGAGTCTCAGTTACCTAAATGGCATAATTCTGAATGCTGAATTGTGTCATTTTTTTTTTTTTTTTGCATTTTCGGAAACACATTCTTGAAAATGGTAGTCAAATATTTGAGTATCCAAAATTTTCATGTAAATTAGATTGGGATCTAATTCTTTATTCTGCATGTACTTTGCATGTATGATATCTGCTAGATTTAAGTATAAAATTGTTCTCTTTTCTCTACTGTAGCTGACTGTCTAGACCCTGGATGTTCCAATCACGGTGTGTGTATCCATGGGGAATGTCACTGCAATCCAGGATGGGGTGGTAACAATTGTGAAATACTGAAGACCATGTGTCCAGACCAGTGCTCTGGTCATGGGACGTATCTTCAAGAAAGTGGCTCCTGCACCTGTGACCCTAATTGGACTGGCCCAGACTGCTCAAATGGTAAGGTTAAAAAATGCAGCACAGTTGAGTGCTTACTATTGTGTAGCTAACTAAAAATTAAGATCTTTTCGTTTTTTTGTTTTTTTTTTTCAACGTTTATTTATTTTTGGGACAGAGAGAGACAGAGCATGAACAGGGGAGGGGCAGAGAGAGGGAGACACAGAATCGGAAACAGGCTCCAGGCTCTGAGCCATCAGCCCAGAGCCCGACGCGGGGCTCGAACTCACGGACCGCGAGATCGTGACCTGGCTGAAGTCGGACGCTTAACCGACTGCGCCACCCAGGCGCCCCAAGATCTTTTCGTTTTTAAAGCACACTTATTAAATTTTATATAGGTTTTATCCAAGTGATTGTTTCTAGAAAGAAATGTTAAAAGTGATGAAATTTAGTCGCATTAGAAAAAGAAACAGGCTTAGTCAACTTGTCATTAAAATGTCTCCTTTAGTAGCATCGTAAAGAATATTTTTTTGTGTGTAAAATACTCCCTCTTCTAACTCTCAAGGCCTGTGTATAGCTTGGGACACGTTATCTCATCAACAGAGAAGCCTCAATTTAAAAATTATTTGACAACATAAGGCTAAACCTGATCACAATAAAGAGTACGTATAGATAAATATTATGATATGCATAATGGTCCAACGCTGATTTTTATATTATAATAATATGATTGTAATATAAATGGCAGGTAGTAATTTTTTTTCCATCAGTCAGGTTGTTACTGAACAGCAGCTATGTGCACGGCATGGTGATGGGCCCCGTAGGAATAAATAATGAATCCTTCCTGCCCTCTAGAATAGTGGCTTTCAGATTTTTGACCGTGACCTAAATGACCCATAGCCTCAGTCTTACGTTGTGACACATACATATATAGACTGACATAACTGAAACAAAGCTTTAGCAAGTGGTACACACTAATGCTTTTCCCTACGTCTTTTCTACTTTTTTGATGCTGGTTGTATCCCATGAATTAATTCCATGACCGTATTAGTCACACCGTACGAAAAGGTAATCTAACCTAGAAGGTTACCGTTTAATTGGGGAGATGAGACGAACACACATGAAATACTTAGAAACCAGGATGTGCCAGTTTAATGTTTTATTGAATAGTACGTGGAACAATATGCTAAATGCAACCAACATTCAGAGGAGTGATCCTGCCTTGATGCACGTGAGGTCCTCAAGGAGATTTTTATGAACATTTCTTGCCTTCTTTTAAAGATGGCAGCTAGCATGGAAATGGGAGGAGGCGCTTTTTGACTAGGGGAATGGTACTAGAAAGTACCTACGAGCGTAGGCTCTGAGATCAGATGCTCGGGTTCATATCCAACCTCTGCTACTTATTAGCTGGGTAACCTTAGGCAGACTACTATATGTTTTAGCGTACCCATCTATAAAGTGAATTTAACCGAGAAATTCTTGGGGCCCCCGGGTGGCTCAGCCGATTGAACATCCAGCTCTTGATTTTGACTCAGGTCATGAGCTCAAAGTTGTGGGATCGAGCCCCATGTCTGGCTCAGTCATGGGCATGAAGCCTGCTTAAGATTCTCTCTCTCTCTCTCTCTC